TTTTTTTTCAATTTTGTTTTTTTTCGGCCCCCCCCCCCCCCCCCCCCAAGTCTCAAGTCTGATTTTTATAGTTTTTATTTATTTATTTATTGAATTGCATAACATACTTCCTTTGTTTTAAGGACTGGGATGTTAGAAAGATATTTAATTTTGGGATTTGCTCATTAAACAGTTTTTGGAAAAAAAACATTGCTTTAAATCTTGTGTAAGTTTAAGAAAAGGCATGTAACTAAATAGATCAGAATAAGAACCTCTAACCTCTGAGGTAAAAAATTGGGGCATTTTTTTTTCAAAAGACCTGGAGATTTGGTTAAAAAAATCTTTGAAATAAGAGCGTTCTTATTCTGCATATATTGTCAAAGGTGGCATATTTTACATGTACCTTCACTGGTTCTAAAAAAAGCACAGTATTATTTCAGATACTGAAAATGAGCATTTCCCTGCATCCAATTTATTTAATAATGCATCTTTTTGCTTATTTTAAACAATAAAAATCCCTTCGAAATTGTGAAATAGTGGCATTTAAATTTCTCGTTGCTATGTATGAGCATAGGCAACTGATATCTTCTATCATCAATTTAAGATAGCAATGGGTGTAACCCGTGTTAGGCGTAATTTCATCCCTGAACAAGATTTTATCACAAAAATGGGCATACTCAAACACAAGTGTATAGGCTTCCATTCTTTTCTATCATTTTGGTTTAAATGATTTTGTTATAGAGTTATGAGCCATTAATTTCATTTAACAAAGGTGTTATTTTGCTTTATCAATGATAGAATCTGTACTTAGACTAAGATAAATCGCTGGCAGGGTTTTGGAGTACCAAATGGTGTCATTTAATTAGTGTTAAAATGGTGTTTGTGGGTGCTCAGGTAAAGGAGAAGTTTGAGAAAGTGATTTTTCCGTTTACGGTAAATACCCTAAAATTGCAATCATGGTGCACCCGTTAGATGATATGTGTATAAATGTTAATTTATTTAGTCATTGAACAGTGAAGATTTATCTGTTAACCAAAAGAATATATGTAAGGGTTTTCTGGCAAACACTTACAGTATCCTTAATACAAATGGGTGTAATGCAAGACGGTGAGATAAGCTAAATTTTTACTTCCTTAGTGAAAATTTTGCAGATGAAAGGTTCTCAAACCTTTTGCTGAAGCCTGTTATGTTGTTTCTTACATCACCAACATTGTTATTTACTCAGATTTTTTCTTTCAATTTTTTCGAATATTTTTGATAGAAATATTTTCGTAGAAAAAATTGAAATACTTTATTTATTAGTGAAGAATGATCAGAGGAATGATCAATACACTTAAAAAAAAACTTTAAAAAGAATTCTATTCTTCTTCTTTATGTGCCATCACCAATTCGGTGTATTTGACCAAAGGGTCCTGTTTCTTGCCCATGACCAAAGGTGTCTTGTTGGTAATTCAAAATTGTCAAGGAAGGTCTTTCGTTGTCTGCCTGATGCACTTTTGCCAGGTATTTTACCACTAAGGCTAAGATTTTCCAATCCTTTTTTCTGATGGAATGACCCAAGAACTTCAGTTGTCTATCCCTGACAGTGTTGAGGAGATGTCCTTTTTGTTCAGTCTGTTTAAGGATCTCTTCATTGGTAACATGATCAATGTAGGAGATTCGGAGCATTTGCCTATAGAACCACATTTCAGCTGCTTAAGTGTTACGTTGAGTCTCTGCTGTCAAAGTCCCAAGACTTGCAGCCATACAGAAGACTAGATCAGACACAGGTTTTGAGGAGGCGGATTTTTATCTTGAAAGACAGCCCACAATCCATGAAGATTGCACTGAGACAGGTGAATGCATTTTTCGCTTGGCCAATTCTTCTTTGGATTTCTAGCAACAGGCATTGGATGTCACAAGAGCTCCAAGATAGTTGAATGAGGAGACCTGGTCGATGGGAGTGTTCCCGTGAAGCAATCTGCAAAGTGGTGTGACCTTTGACTTTGAAACCACCATGGTTTTTGTTTTCTTGCTGTTGACATGTAGTCCAAGCTTTGCACTGGAGAAAACAGCAGCATCAAAAATATTTTGGAGATCCTCACTCGACGTAGCTAGAAGAACTGTGTCATCAGCATAGCGAAGATTGTTTATCCTGACACCATTGACAGACTCCTTCTGAACAATCCTCCAGATGTCTCAAGATCATTTCGGAGTATAAGTTAAAAAATTCTATTAATAATTGATAAATTGAACTTTTCTTTCAGTCTTTTGGACAAACCCTGACAAGATGCCATGGCCATTTCACCAGTAGATGTAGCATGAGCTATATCCCTATAGTAATAGAACAGTCAGGCAGAGGAGAAAAGGCCTACGATATTTTCTCAAGGTTGCTGAAGGATAGAATTATATGCGTCATGGGCCCTGTAGGTATAATTTTATGTTTGAAATATTATTGATAAAATATAAATAGAATTAATTTGAAAAGCAACCTACATGTACCTTAGAATTGATAGATTGAATTACATGTTTTAATTGTAAGATTTGATTAAATTGCAATGGTTAAAGGGATAATAACTGTTCATTTGGCTAAAAAATTAATTTTCCTGAAGTAAACAACAATTTTCCCATACTTACCAATGGTTAATGAATCCATTTTTACATTCAAAGTTAGTCCCTGGTTTTTTACTAAAAAGTTTGTTCTTAAGAGATTATTAGAGTATAGCCATCTGTGGAGGTCATGTTGTCCAATGACAAGCTCGGATATCAGAATAGAAGCTATAACTGCAGTTTTGTGGTAAAACAGAATATATTATATTTCTGTAAGTTGTTTACAATGTTTTTATTGTGAAATGTAGATCTCATATGAAGAGTTATTATCCCTTTAACAATCAAAAATGGATGTGTGGAGAGAAATGTTACACAGTGAGAGAGTTGTTAAATTGCAATGTTATTAAAAGTGAACATTTAATTCATTCCTATTCTGTTGTTGTTGTTTCAGATTCATGATGGAGTTGCTAGTATAGTTGTAGCACAGTTATTATACCTACAGTCAGAAAGCAGGAAAAAGCCAGTCCATATGTATATAAATAGTCCAGGTAAAATTATGTATTTAAACATTTTTGTTCAATGGAATTCAGATAAATAAGTGATTTACAATATGTCCGATGTTAGGACAGCATAGTGTTTGTTTTAGAAAAATAACTAATGATTAAATTAATTTGAAAATCAGCTGTACAATATATCACTAATGAGAATTAATGATAAAGATCATTTGAAAAAATTGACTGTGTACGAATAATTAATAACTAATGAGAATTGAGTTCCTTTGGCAGAGTTCAGCATTCTCTGAGTGGTTTTCTATATATTTTCTGAATTTTTTGGGCTTGTTATTCATAACTATTTATCTATTTATTTATTTATTTATTCTGATAATTTTGACCCAGTATTTAAAGTAGATGCCTGGGGCTGGACTCTCAGAGGCAAGACTTTTGTGTGCTGTGACATTTCATGTTTAAACTGATAGGTTTTCTGTATGTATGTCAGCTTTGGCTGCGTTTCTTTTTCATATGCAGATAAATAATTCTTTGACTTAGTGATATACAGGAAACTTTCTTTAAAAAATATGTTATCCTGTATAGTTTGCATAATACTATTGGATGTCTATTTGTGCCAGTCTTGCTGTCTAGTTAGTTTCCCATTTTAACTAGCAAATGATAATTTATTAATTGTTTTAACACAGGTGGAGCTGTTACATCTGGATTAGCAATATATGACACAATGCAGTACATAGAGCCTCCTATAGCCACCTGGTGTGTAGGACAGGCCTGCAGTGCAGCATCCTTATTACTCTGTGCTGGAACGGCTGGCATGAGACACGCATTGCCAAATTCAAGAATCATGATACATCAGCCACATGGTTCAGCACTGGTAAGGTTGACTGCAGATTTAGAAACATTGTGATGGGAGACCAATGTGAATTGCCAGTCAAGAAGTAGGAATGAGGCTTTTAAGGTTCTTGAATGGCTCTTACCACGACATTAATCTCCCTGTAATTCCTTAAGATACCTATATTTTGCTGATAGCATTTAATTTTCAGTTATTATTTATTATTTAAATGCTGATAGTGAATACTCTTTCATTGTTAGATATTTTTCTTTGTACTCTTTCAGGGGCAAGCTACAGACATACAGATTCAGGCTAGAGAAATAATAAAGATCAAGTCTCAGCTAAACAACATATATGCCAGGCACACAAATTTAAAACTTGAAGAGCTAGGTCAGTTGTTCATTTGGATATGCTCTTCCTCTTTCTAATATTTTATTTTTAATGTACAGACACAGAAGTGGCTGAACATATTACAATTACCTATGTCCATCCAGGTCTCTGGAGCTTGAGCCAGAGCAGTGCACATTTCGTGTAGCAGCAACAAATAAGTAGTAATTTTGCCCTTTTGTTTTAAACTCACAGTGATTATTTATTTTTTTAAAGTGCAGGTTTATAAGTAGTTCCAAACTATCCTTTGCTTCATGAAAAATCTAAAGTCATTGTCTGGGCTCAAATCTCTTAGCCCACCAAGAATAAGCTGGCTGTAAAATATTTCAGCTGATAGCCAGTTAAGCTAGCCAGGCTAAATATAGACATAGACATAAAAAATTCAGTACTAATTGAGAATATATCCAACAACATTTTCACAAGAACATACCATCACCAATATATTTTAGGCCTTGTGGACTCTGTATCATTCAAATGGCAACTCTGCATGAGTTAACCAGCAGGGCTTACTGAAGTGCAAAAAATGCTAATACATTTGAAATTGGACATAATCAGATTCTTCCTTGAATATAAAAAAGGGGAAAATTCTTTCAAGGAGTTTAACATTTAAAATTTCAACATAATAAGTTGTCAGTACATTTGTCAGCTTTAGCTGGCTTTTTGTGAGATGAATCTGAAAAACTTTGTACATACGTTTTTAAATCATGCATTTCTCATAATTCAAAAGGTATACTGTTTTCTAAGTTTATCCCTTAAAATATTACTGGTGACATTTTATTCTAATACAAAAATGTATTGTTAACAATATTATAAAAACTATAATATGACAGTTTGTTACAAACATTGGTACAAATATTTGACTTAAGCCAACTTTATTAATATCATTTCAGCAAACTTTATTGATATCACCTCATTTTGTCCAACATTTATATGAGAATTTATTTGATGTTGATTTGCAGAACCTTTGGTGGAAAGGGACACGTATATGAGTCCTTCAGAAGCTAAACAATATGGCCTTATTGATTCGGTTCTGGAACATCCTCCATTTCCAGGGGAAGAGGAGACAGAAACACCAGAGCAAACCTAGCACACTGATTATTATAATACTGACTCACCTTGCATTACAAATTGATATATGCATTCTATGGTGTCATTTTATGATAATGCTAAGGGAACAGAACTCTTGTCTGTGGCAAAATCTTGCTTTGTGTCTTTTCTTTGTAAAGGGAAGACATCACAATTTATCAGTGACATATTTCTCTTGAATAAAGGAATGGACCTGATAACTTTTGTTTCAATTCAACTGGACCAAAAGACATTTTGAATTATTTTTGGGACAATTACATGTATCGATTTTTCTTACAAAATCAAAAAGAAATTAATAGCTGCAATATCTATCTTTCTTGGATTTAACAATTTCCATTTTTATGAATTCCAAACTTGAAATAACTTCACAAATATAGACATCTTTTTGTGTAGAAGGCACTGATGTCTGATACATCTGTTGGTCACCTTATATGCTAAACTATGTTTCTGTTTTTCCTATTTACTGAGAAGCTTTTGTTTGGAAAAAAGGGAAGTTCTTTTCAAAAAGACACAATCATGCTATTTTATCAATAGTTATTAATTTGTTTTGTATGTTAGCCTGTGTTTTGGTGAAGTTCACCCCAGGCACCAAATGGGGTGGGGTGGGGGGGGTGCATTTTGAAGAATAAAAAAAGTCTGTTTGGGATTCAAACAGCATAACTTGGAGAAATTCTTTTATTAGCAACCGTGCATGGTACCCGGAATTGTCAAGGTTTACAATCATGTTTACAAGTTCCCCGTCGGCTCTGGCCTGTTGCTATGCAAAAGGAAGGTACACCTGCCATATGTTTTGCAGTACAGCTGTTTCACGATCAGGGGTACAAAGTAGGGGTCACTTTGAGAGAAAAATGAACTCTGATGCATTTGTTTAATTTTGTAACAGATAAAAAGAATTACATCTTAACTATGATATCTACAATTTTTAGAGCACAAGATTAATTACTTTTTGTGCTACGCTCAATTTAACAGAACGCCTCTTAGACTATGATCTGGGGGTACGGACACTACACATTCAAGTAACTGATGCTTTTGTAACTGAAATATCATATTGTTTACCGGTTATTTTTGCCAAAAATCTAAAAAATGTCAAACTAAAGATATAACAGCAGTACTTTAACCAAAAGAATACAAGTACATGTATTAATCAAAGAGTTTTTTGGAGAAACACCACAGCACGGTTTTTCAGTGGATGCTGGAGCTTGGTTGTGTGTCATTCAGTGTGACTTTCATTCACCAGACTTTAATTTTAACTTTTCTTTCTTTGTTTGACCTTTTTTATCTNCTTCTTTTTCATCTCTCGTTAATTTGCACCTCTTGTTCTACTGTTATCAAGATTGTTGGGTTTCTGCTTCTCCTTAACTCTCTGTCAGTATGTCCTAATTTCTTCTCTTTACTTTAGTCTTCTTTTTTTTTTTTGCTTCTATGCTATGTTACGTGCATTCAACGTCTTCCTTACGTGCTTCAGCAAGATTATTAGCATCTTTACGGGTATAAGCTCTTTGACGTCTTTTTTTTCTAAATTATTTTTTGCTGACAGTAAAATATCCAGGATCCCTTTTTCTTTTCCTGTTTGGCTTTTGGTTTATTGCCATCCATATTTGATACTTCATTCACTGAGAGTATAATAAATGTACTGTTAATTATTCATGTATTGAAGTGTTCGTACCCCTCAAAATATATCATATACATTAATCCACAGAATATTAATCCATAAACAATTTATTATTTTGCAATTAGCTATATTTGGCAATATATTCAAACCAATATTGTTCATTTTGGATGCAAAGAGTAGCATCTTTACTGATATTATTTCTTTGCAAAATCTCTTGCCTAACTCGAATTAATCAGTATCACTTTATCGAATATATATATTTATATACAATGTTTTTTCTAAACATCATAAGACAAGAATGCATTATATATAGTCTTAAACAATATTTTGCATCATATTTTGAAGTTTTATCATTATCGATATGTAGCCAGTTATCCAATGGTTAATGTATAAATTGGGGGTACGGACACTACAGTAGGGGTACAGACACTACATTTGGCACCAAATTTGTGCATATCTTTTCATAATAAGGGGTTATGTGCTATTTTCTTCCTGCAAAATAATTGTCAGTGTAGACATTATAGAATAATAAAATCAGATAGAATATGCTGTGATTCCTAAATAAAATAGATAGGGGGGTACGGACACTACAAAAAGTAGGAGACACCAAGGGGCTCATGATTATAAATACCATAGCATTAATAATAATAATGGTTACACATGCACAACTCCTTTCTTATGTTTAAGTCATAACATGGTAAATTCATCTTATTATCACGTAGGTGATTTCAAAGTAATATTTGGCCTTATCAAATATGTTTTTCATTGCATTAACAAAAATAAGTAAAATGTGTACAAAAGCCTGTTGCAGCAAAATGGTTACAATAAATTTTTACTCAGAACATATCTTTGGAAGAATCTGCTAGAAGAGAAGACACATGTTGTGGGAATTATATACCAATATCATATTCACCATAAATCATTGACATAAAGAGCTAGTGCATCATATTTATGACCTAAGTTGCAAATGACCCAGCTAGAAATAGGTACTTTTTGGACACATAATTGGCCATATTTTTGTAAATTGTAGTCCAATTATTATAATTCTTTTTTTATTCTGCTCCTATGAACAGTGTCTTTGATATCAGTCTAACAGCAATCTCCAATCATAAATTGTAAATTTAGCAGACACTTGTAACATTAACCACATTTAATTGTTCAGCCTGATTGTGAAACAGCCGAGTAGTATTTATTATCAGAGCTGTGGTTTACTGTTTTTTACATAAAACAAACTACATACACGTCACCACTGTTTGGCTTATTGTGATAAATATATCTACCACATTTGTACTTTTGATCTCGATATAATTTTGATACCACAAAATGTCAATACAACCGTTGTGATACCATACTAGTCCATCCTTGTGCATATGTACCAGTGCATTTTAAAGAATAAAAAAGGTCTGTTTTGGGTTTCAAATGGCACAACTTAAAGAAATACCGTAGGGCATTGTTTCACATTTCTGTGAAAAAGGATATATGAATGTCTTTTTTTTCTATACTTTGAATATTCCTCAGTAGCCTTATTGAATAAGTATACAATTGGGCTCTCAGCTATACATTCATACATGGGAGTTAGAGTGATGATTATGCAATATGCACTCAGTACTATGTCATTTAGAAGACATTTATGAAAAGAAGGGCCAGATAAAGAGGTCAATTTATGAACAAATTTAAAGAAGGTGCAGTTTTAAAGCTAATTTTGACTGAGCAAGAATTAAATTTGCTTAGTGACTCAGTATGTCGACTTTATCTTAGTGGTATAAGAAACTAGCACAAGTAGTTTGTGTTACTGGAAATCCACGCTCGCTTTATGTGAATCTTTAAAGGTCCCCTCTATAGCTGCATTCAAAACTGCAGAATATCTATACCATGAATCAAATATGGCCAACCCACTTCATTGTTTGTGCATAATTCCCACAGGGAATCTATTAAGCATCTATTAGGGAATTAGACAAGAAGCTTTTACGTTGGTCACCATGTTAGTTAGTTAGTTAGTTAGTTAGTTCGCTGTTCTGAATGCGGCCTAACATTTTCAAATCCAAAAAGTGTACCTCGTATTCATTTATGTAATTTGACTTAAAGGTAGAACTTGATACAGTGTAACATAAGCCATTCTTTCGCAACCATTTACCTTCTCCCATTATTTGACATCACAGTCCTTTTCTTATGAACTAAGGAAAAAAGAAAAAAAAGGACACCCATACTTTACCTGAAAACTTACTATAATAGGTTTTAGAGTGCATTCTCAACGAATTAAGCCAGGCTTTACAAAGCCGGTGACCTAAAAATGGCGGACGTACATGAAAGAAAAACCGCCTAATCTTTTAATAGTCTCTCCGCCTCTCACACGCCTCCCCACACGTCGTCCCTGTGGGGTACAGTAATTAAATCGCGTCTCCGTTCGCCATGCGGAAGCTACCTGAGAAATATTAAGTGCGCATGCTCATCAGTTAAACTCATGGTGAAGAAAGCATGGCCGCTGAAGGCGATCGAAGGAAAAAAGCTCTTCTGTTCTATTATCTTTGAAAACAGAGACGAAAAAGGAATAATTTGGCCCGTAGAGCAGCAATGAATTGACTATCTACGGAGATAATATCACCAGAGATATTCACGGAAATATTTATGTTCGGAGCGGAGATATAATTACTGTACCCCGCAGGGATGACGTGTGGGGAGGCGTGTGAGAGGCGGAGAGACTATTAAAAGATTAGGCGGTTTTTCTTTCATGTACGCCTGCCATTTTTAGGTCACTGGCTTTGTAAAGCCTGGCTTAATTCATTGAGAATGCGCTCTTAGATTTTTTAAGTCTTTAAATTTTTCTGAACATAATCTCAAACCAATTTGCACAACATATCACTTACTATCAATGTCTGTCATAAAAGTTACACATAATATATTCTTGGTCGCAATTCCAAACGTTAGGAACTTTAAATGGTAGGTTTTTTAGTATAGCAATAGCATGATACTTCCCATTTCACTCCTGTTCAACATCACAAGATCAGGAGATAAGCTTGCATCACAAAACACAAGGTTATTAAGAACAACAAGGGATAACTTGATAGTATTAAAAAACTAGAATAGAGAACTTTTTTTCACTGATTATAATATTGAGTTATTGTTTTTCATTGTTAAAACACAAATTGAATACACAACATTTCAGAGCATGTGCTTTTATTTTTGGTGCATAGAAAAAAATGTTACATCACATAAAAAATTATTTAGTCCCTGGGTTGTATACAAAAATTTAACAATGGCAAACACCATAAAGAAGGCTAACCAACAAAACTCTTGTACAACTGATAAAGGCAATTGAGAGAGAAATCTGACTTAATATGACATTGTAGAGAAGGAAATCCAAAGTGCTCAAGGTCAGCAGCTAGTGTGTGCTGTATTTTGTCCGTCAAGAATCAAGGTTGTTAAACTAATGAACAATTAAAAACACAATTTTTTTAAGAACTGTAAGGTGCCCAAACCTTATCATATCTCTAATGTTTATCTAAATTATTAGAAAGACACACCTTAAGCATGATGCACTTAGTAAAATATGTTTCAATTTATAGCAGCTTTTGCTTTGTACATTATCATTTATTTAAATTGTGCTTGTTTCCTGGACTAGACAAACTGTAAGAATAATAATAAGTAAAACATTCTGAATATTAGCAATTGTCATCAAATAATCCCTTCAGCTTTTCCTCTGATGCTCCAACAAGTTCACATGCCTGAAAAGAGGGTTAAGGTAATTGTTAGTCTATACGTTTTGAAACAAAAGATCCTGAACAATACATGTACAGAATTGGGCATCAGAAATCACATCTGGGAAGACACATTTGGAAAATACCACTTTTTGAAAAGTGAAAATTTCTTTAACTAGAGAAAAATTATGATACTAAAAATTTTTAAAAATTCAAAATTTAAAAAAAAAAGAAACAAACCCCAAAAAATAAATAAATAAACATCAGGCTTATTTTTATTTAACTTTAGCTGTGTTTCAATCTTATTAAATTATTTATGATTATTCTGAGAATAATTAGTAACTGAGTTTAAGTTTTTCTTTTACGGTGTTTGCAATTAGCGCACAAAATGTTGTACTAATTTGGAGCCAATATTACATAATGCTTAACACCATCATCACCAATTTTTAATTTATAGTACTAAAGTTACTGTGGATATTCTGTGAATGACTCTTAGGGACCATTCCCACAGATATTTGGATTGATCTATCTCCCCGGGGAGTCTCACTAAATTACTATCAAACTAACAGGCTTAAACGTCGTCACGCCTAGTAAAACTGTTAGAGGGTAATTATCTTTACCCCTAGCTAATTCGGTAAGTGTGACAGACATTAAAGCCTCTTGAGCTGATAGCAATTTAGCATGAACCCCCAGGGAGTTAGGTCGATCCACATGGATCGATCTAAGTATGGGAACCCAGTGTAACATATAGGATGTCACACCCATGGGAGTTAAAAAAATTCAAGAAAACTCATAATTTCAAGACACAAATCCAAATAGGCTTGTTTCAACTCGAGCTGCATTTCAGTCCTAAAAATCATTTTTGTAAGTTTGAGAATAACAAGTTTTTCATTTTTCATTTCATGGTGTTAAGGAAGAAATTGCACAGTTGCTTATGGCAACAACAGACAGGTAATGGTTACATGCCCAGACACGTCTGTCCATATAAATGTCTTTGCTGTTGTGTCTCTCATTTCTTACCTTTTCCTCTTTTCCATTCTTGTAAACATGGAATGTGGGCATTGCACTGATCTTGCAATGTGCTGCAATATCCTGCAATGATCAGAATGTTTTATTTTACAAAAAAAATTCATTATTTTTCTTAAATCATGTGAAAGATTACAAAAACAAAGCACATTTCAAAGGATTACTTAAATTCAATTAAGCAAACATTTTTCACTCATCAATGATTTCACTTTCAAGAACAGAATCTGTATATTGACTGATCAGTAAAACTCAGGATAAATACACATCTGCATAGGTTATACTCACATCAGCATCATCCACATTGACTTTATAGACATCTGCTTTATCTTTATATTTCTCTGCAAGCTTCTGAAATTGTAAATTGTGTTAATTTCCAAACATTGCTTTGTCTGACTGCATCAAAATATAATTCTCTCCAACATATGTTAGCCCCACACTCCAAGTGCAAAAATGTCAAATGAGGGTCAATCTTCAAAGAGTACCTATTTTCCTGATCATGCCAAAATGTGTCAATCTTTGGTTTTTTTCTTTTCTTAAATTTTATTCTTTAAAAAATATAGGGGTGGGCTCACAGATTTCAAGACAAACAGGACAAGGGACTGTAGAATGGTATATACATTCAACATACAGTTTAAATATTTAAATCAGATACTAGTAAGTCATTGATCTATCAGTCATTCTTTTGTGGCATGTAATGAGCCATCTGAGAATAGGTTGTTTATGCCATGTAAGTCTGTATTATGTTTGTATTTGTGCTTGTTTAAAAATACAAAACATATAAAAAAATTACCTCCAGACAGGGAGCTATTTTTTTGCAAGGGCCACACCATTCCGCATAGAAGTCAATGACAAGAATCTTCCCGTTGCTTGTTGCAGCCACTGCTGCCTTAAATTCTTCCTAAAATGCCCAAGAGAAAAAATACATAACTTCAGATGCTTTTACATTATTACCAAATAGTTTATTTTTATGAAGGTGCACTATCATTGGTCTTTTCTTTCATTTCCTTTTTGCAACCCTTTCTGCACTCCTCCCTTTGATACAGCTTTGTAAGATTATATTCTCAGGCAATACAGCACAAATATTTTGAAAGAAAAAGCACTGAAACACCTTGCAATGGAGATCACTGCATGTCATCATATATGAGAGTAGAAAGTGTACGAGATACAGCATGTAGGGTTAATCTTCTAGCAATAAAACTGAAACTCTATGTGTTAGGAATGTCATCTTAGAAAGTATTACTGAAGCGACACTTAAAATATGGTGAATATGTACTATTGTTAACTGGGAGAACTGAAGAGTTCAACCAGTGCATTCAGTCAGTTTTTATTCTTTGTCATGCCGCTCTTGCTATTCTGTCATTTCTTCTGACCCCACCCTGCTCTAAATCCCGCAAATCTTGATTTTACACTTAACTGAGAGGCTCAGGCTATCTTTAATGTTTAATTCAAGCAAGAGATTTAACCACATGAGAATATTTAAGTAAAACAAAGCACCAACACAGGCTATTGCAAGGGGAACTATGGGTGCATTCCCAGAGATTTAGATCGATCCAGGGATTTAGATTTAGATCGACCTAACTCCCTGGGGGTTCACGCTAAATTGCAGTCAGCCGAGCGTGCACCATAGTTAATTACCCCCTTACAGCTTTTAGTAGGCAGGACAGACGCTTAAGCCAGCTAAGCTGACAGTAATCCAGTGAGACTCCCCACAAAGATAGATCGATCTAAAATCTATGGGAATGGGGTCTATGATTACTAACTGCTGTGGACCTGTGGTTAAACAATGCTCTTGATATGAACAGATAAGACTGCATGTGAACAACTGCACTCATATTAATATATGATATCATATCATATCAAACACATTACATTGTGCATTATATTCATAAATTAATACAATGACATTTATCAAGAAGTACATGGTATGCTTTTCATCTGTTTAGAAAAATGCAATGACCAAACAGCTCTGACTACTAGTACACTGTATCTGATAGCCACAAGGATCACTGTTAACACACAATTAACAAATCATATTGATCTCTCATAGGTCTTTTGTATAGCATACAAAGCCAAACCTTGAAGTTATATAACAAGTATGCCGTATTCCATGCCCATGCTGAAAATGCACCAGTGTATGTTTATCAATAATATGGATCCACTCTACAATACCTTTCATACATTACAACACATACACATTACATAACACTGGTCTGAATATCAATACTGGTGCCTCAGGCCCTGCAAATTTTGACAGTCATGTGCTATGTGTGTGTGTGTGTGTGTGTGTGTGTGTTGAAGGATGAAATAAGTTGCATTTTAAAAACATTTTACAAGTACATCTTATTGACTCTTCAAGTATAAAAGTTTCATGTTCTTAAAAGTAATATAATAAGCAACAAAACTGTTACTAGGGGCCTTGACATATACCATATTCCCATAACTGTCATATAGATAGGTAGATAGTTACTACAACATTAAATTAAATTAAAGGTGACAAGAAAGCCATCTTGTAAATTCTAGTATAGGGTGCTTGATCTGTGATGAAGAAAATGTCCCATACATGGGCCCTTATTGACTGGCCTGTCATTTAGGACTGATGAATTATTTATTTAATTGTTAAATTATTTATTAAATTATTTAAATCATTTATTTAATTATTTAAATTGTATAAAACACTGCATCCAAGTGCAGTGATTTGTTAAGCAATGAGCAGTGAGTTGTAAAAAATGCTTATTTTTTTTGCAAAATAAAATAAAATAAAAATAAAAAATCTGGGATAGGATACTTTTCAACAATTCAATTTTCACCTGATCAAGAGCTATGCACAACATACCAAGTAATATAAAACAAACTATAGTTTATGCGTTGCCATGTGGTCACTTGTGTATATAGCAACTGACATCCAAATACTAAATGATCAACATTTCCCAACAATCAATTTCCGATCAAAACTTGACAGAAGTAATAAAAAGAAACACTTGCATGATACTTGGAACGTCACAAAAAAATTGCACTTATAAATAATAACAATAATTAAATCTATTATTTTAAATGAACGCTAAGACCCAAAGGAAAAGAATATTCCAAAGAACAAAACTAACCCCATGTTCCCACAAGTCTACAACTAATGGCGGGTACAGCGTCGGCGAGTCAGTATAACAGAAAGTGACTTAGTCCCCCCTATATTTAGTTATAACAGTTAGGGTGAGCCTGACCTACGGGTAAGTGGGCGCGGCTTACCTTTACAAAAGAATAGGCAGAGGACTCTCTATTATGGGAGACTCTTTGTCACGTTACACCGGTACCGCCGGTATGGGCTCCATCAAACATCAGTACATGGGCATTCAACTTATGGCAGATCACATGCTTTCTTCATGACTTGATTTAAATCTGGAATGCTTACTACATTACTTACCAAATTATTAAGAAGCTTCATTGTTGTTTTGTTGGGGTTAATGCCGGAATATGGTACGTCTTGTTAGCCTAGAAAATCACTGGGGAACGTTGCGCTTGCGAGTATGACTTTGCAACTATGCATCAACTGCTACGCCGATCTATATGATCACCAGGTGGCACTCGCCAAGATGAGCCCAATTCGTATAAAATGCCAACCCTAAAGATAGCACTTCGTTTTTATATAGAAGAAGATTGTCAGCATTGTCCTGTGCCTATTTACCAATACAAAAGTAGACTCAAGAATCAAAATGAAACGTTGCACTGACGTGCGAACACTTTCGAAACAACCACTGAAAATGAAAGCGAAAAAAAAAATGACGTGAAAAAAACAAGCGGATCCAAATTTGGTTTTTTAGATCAACCAAAACCAATATAGAGGTGCAAATGAGGTCACAGGCATGCTCTTAAAATATTTAGTGCACAGATTACAAACTATGTTTGATTGTTTTAGGGTTCCACATAAGGCAGTTTGTATCAAAGTTTCACTCTTTCTGGAACCATGAATGATAAAAATATGTTATCGTTTAACCTCAAAAAGGAACATACGTTACTGTAGGCCTAACAATTGCAAAACGTCCAGCTGTAAAGTATTACTCATGATCACTTAGAAAATTCAATAAATACTGGTTTTGTTCTTTAATTTATCTCCTAGAAGTAGGCCCCTATAATGTAAATAATTATGACAATCAGATCTTCTGTAGGCCTATAGAGCATTTCCATAGTAACTATGAATGGATCTTTGCGAGATATAAGGTAGATATATAAGGTTGGAAATTTGGGAAAGTCATTTTAATATGAAAAAAGGTCAAATGTCATATTCCAGGGCACAGTAACATTGTATAACTTCCTATATAAGTTCAAAAGTAACTATGGGTGTATCTCTGCCAGTTTTGGAGATGTAAGGCTTGGAAAACAAGCACCATTGCTCGCCATTGAACATTGCGACGTTGTACTATTTGAAACAACGTAACTCCTTAACCGTTTGGAAAACAAATAAGCGAAACGATCTCCAATGTTGCCCTTTTATAACTCTACAAGATGCAACAACAAGAGGTCTAGCTTTTAGGGTTAAGAAATTAGAGAAAGTTTTCAGTTTGTCACTGATTGACCCCAAAAAAGTTACTTGTTTGGATACCTCTTCAAGGAAAAATGAAAGTGATATGATCAAACTTGTGACCTGTAGAGTGCTAACAGGCAAACTTACAAATAACTAATGTAGCCGTATGAATGTATTGTCTTCACTGTTGTTCGTCTTTTGTTTTGTCACGAGGGCGTCATATTACTTTCTCATTCCCATTGGTCATCTTTCCCGCCTTTCGTCGTTTATAAATATCGTCGCCGCCCTTTCTGTCATTCTTATTTGCTCATCTCTCTGTATACTGTATCTTTGCACGTACGTGGTCAATAGTTTTGTTAATTCTTTTATTAATATTATCATTATTATTATAGTTATCATATAGTAAGATTATAGCTATGAATAAGATTATTATGATGATCGCATTCTTATTTGCTCATCGCTCTGTATATCTTTGCAGCACAATGGTCTTGAATAAACGAAAATAAGAACAAAGAAAAGTGTACTTTGTTATGAAGCGTTACACTAAATAGACAGGCTGACCGACACACCTCTGAAAACGATAACACTTATCACATTTTGTGAAATCAAACCGTAAATTTGTTTGTAATGCAAGCTAGAAATCACGGCCATGGACGAACAACACGTTTTATTTGTCCAAGTTTAGTCCCCATCTAATAATTGACAACAAGGCGTAATGTAGGCCTGTGGCCATTTTTTATTCTTAAAAATTCTTCAGTTCCCGATTTTAACACAATTGGGCATTAGCGAGGTTTGTCTCCATTACTTACGAGCAAACATAGCGGAGTGTTAAATGTTCTAGTATCAGTCTTTATTGACTTGCATTTGAAATATTATGCAATGTATATATCTATATGAGTTAATTAATCAAGAACGTTGGTAGGACTAATTCCTTATTTGAAATTATAGTCTTAACTCGTTCGATTATTGATCATGTCCATAGGCTTTGTTGGTGAAAAGTAGGCCATACAGAGTATTATCGGTATTTTTTGCACGAGGAAATCTTTTTTCATCTCAACAAAACAAAAATTCTTATGACCTCTCAGTTAGATTTACAGCAAATAACAGTGAAATAAAAACAAAAATATATGTGAATTTAATATCCATTAAGAAAACTACAATACGCTATAAACCCGTATTGTTCAACCTCAAAGTCATACAGAAAGTGTAACCTAAAATAAAATTAACACAAAAAATACATACTTTGTATTACCATAAATTGACACCGTTGGACTCAGTCATGCTTTGTTGTCGGTTATGTTTATCCAATATAAATCAAGAATTCCCAACATCCAAACAGAATACCGCTTTTCAAATCACATGAAAATAAACCATCTTGTGAAATAGGTACAGTATTTGAAAGAAATGTACAATATTTACAAATGTGAGTATACAACTTTAACAACAACTTGCATTCTCATCCACAAATGTCCATCACAACAAGAGTAACACTTTGTAAGATTTACCATGAAATAACAATAAAAATGTAAAAAGTCTGAATGAGTATTGTAACGTCTTATTTGCCAATTTCTTCTTTTACTTTAAAATCTTCGTTTAACGAAGAAATCTAACGTATTTACTATATTTACCCTTAGATATATACAATAAAACATCATAAACAAAAATATGATTATTATGAGTATAGTGTGTCAAAATTGATTTAAAATTGGGTGTTGAGATTAAAAAAAACTTTTCATTTGCCTTTTGATTAGCACCTTGAACTGTTCGGACTTGTGTTGAATTATGTATTAGTTTTGCACTAACTGCAATATTAACGTAAGGCTACGACATAATGTACAGTATGTTTAGCTGTTGCGAGGTATAAGCAAACGAGGCACTAACCAAGTTAAGAATTTCGCCAGATTAATTTTTTAATTAAGTCAGGACCCAGGGGTGTTACCCAGACACTCCCCAGAGGCGCGTGGTTTGCCTCTTTATTACAGGCCTCCAATAACAGGGCCTCAAACAGCGTATGCTAGTACAATGTAAGATTTTTCCTTAACATAAAAAATTCGCACAATTAGTCTCGTCCTGCAAGACTGAATACCTGAAATAAAAACCCTCTACTATTCAACATTTTTAGACATATTTCAGGGACAACAGTGCTCAATTTAGGTAATTGCAGTTTACAAGGGGCTGAAGTGTTCTATGTACATTTGATGCGCTATCGAATAAGAACATAATATTACAAACATGCTACGAAGAAATATAACAGGTCTCTAATAATGATTAAAAAAGTAAAAGTCTTATTCCAATTTTCTCCGGGAGTTGCAGAAGACACGAAAGTCTATCAGCAAGGCAAGAAATGCAGTCAAACACGAGCAGAGTTAAACCAGATTTTCCTTTCAATAAAGTGATTACCACTCGGGAGTTTCCCTGGTTTCGAATGAGACACGAATATCGTCGATGGGAGTATCCTTTTCTTTCAAACTTGACACACAATGTGGAAATTAGAGCTCTGTACATAGTCATTCCACAGCATCACAGACGATCATTATATATCACTACCATGAAGGAGAGAGCGAGATTCAAGGTTAAAAATGCTTCACCTTGGTCATCATAGTATCATTAGGCAAGAAAAAAATCAACTGCACAACCGTGGCTGTAATGATAAAATATACAAGCAATTGCAAATTAACAATGTGATTAAATTATTGCACGTCCTTGAATAAGAAGCACTATTGTAACTGTTGTCTGTGCTGTCACTGTTTGAATCCGATGTTCTGTCGGAATTCAAACCGTCTTCTGAACTATCTGAAGGGTCGCGTTTTGTTGTTTCACAAGGCCCTAAAATAATACAAAAAGTCAACGTTATTATACAATATACATATTGTAATCGAATACAAGATCATGGAAGAATACAATATATCTTTTACCGTCCACGTAAAGTACAATTATATCGTAATTACGCTTTTATATTTATTCAATTGAATACCAACAATCAAAGAAACGAGCATATCTTGGTCAGAATTCAAAGCGTCTTACTACCTCGAAGAGTTAACGGTTCCAACAGAAAAATGGTGGGTACAGTAAAGTGTGGTAAAAAAACACTATTAAGTCTAGCTTTTCAGAAAACATATAAGCCGAGCTGAGAACCTTTTCAGTTTTGATAACAGAAAGCAGATTAAAACAAACCAAAGCAAAGCTCGTCCTACCTGGTTGTTCTTTAAATGTGTACTGTATAGGTTGACTTATGATAAACGCGGCGTCTCCATTGCATCCAGCGTCTATGGTTAACTGTACGTTATCACCGTTATCTTTGATTGTCTGAAAATAATGCAGAAACGTTCAAATTAGTACATTTTATCTTTCAGTTGTAAAATTTAAGGATATTGTAACCCTTTATCATCATCCAGATACCGAGAAAGAGTTTTTTCCTGCATCTTATTATTCAATATGTATCTATCTTTGTGCTGATTAAAAACACTTGAAAGTATAAAATATCAAAGTTTGTATTTTTTTCGTTGCAATGTATAAGCATAGGCAACTCAAAGTTTTAATAGTCTATTTGACACCTTTCTATTTTGAGGTGAGATAACAATCTGTATGGGGCGTAACTTCATCCCTGAACAAGATTTTATCACGAAAATTGGCAGAGCTGACCAGGAGTGTATAGGCTACAATCCCGTTCCATCATAATTTCGGTTTAAATGTTTTTGTTATGGAGTTATGAGCCCCTAGATACAGATTTTCATTAACCCAGAGGTATTATTTGGCTAAATATCAATGATAAAATCCGAACTAAGACTTTAAAGAAAAAAATCGCTGGCAGGGTTTTTGGAGTACTGAATGGTATCATTAACCCGGCGTTGAAACGTTGATCGTGGGTGCTCAGGTAAAAGAAAAATCTGACAAACCGATTTTTCAGGTGTTTACCCCAAAATCGCAATTATGACGTCATCCGTAAGGTGACATATGTGTAAACGTTAATAAATTCAGTCACTGAACACTGAAGATTTATTTATATTACCCAAAAGAATGTATGCAAGGCAATAAATACGGAGTTTTGGACGAAGGGTGACAATTTCCTTAAAACTGATTTTTATCGCAATAATTATACTCTTATATAACAGGTCCACCTGACGTAAGAAAAAAGGCAGACCATTTTCAAATTCTGTGTCTTATAAATTCGAACTTACAAAGCAATTTGCAATCATGTTGTCGTCATCGGGAATCTTCGCAACTAGGAATGTTTTTGATTGCTCTTTCCAGCTAATAAGGCACTCCAAGGTTTGGACTAAAGAAAAAAAATTAAATCGATTAATTAATATTAAGCACCTTCAGAATATATGTTCAAATAAATTAACAGCAATTGAGTGATTAACGTCGTCAGAAAAATGTTGACATCATGATACAGATCACACAGAAGCAATTGAACATAATTTGACATCAATATAATATATTTACAAAATAAACACACATTTAAAAAATATACGAACCAGCAACGTTTTCACAGAGCTGTACTTTAACTTTGGAGTTGTCATAACAACCACCGGTTTGAATCGTATCCTGGCACTTTGGTGATATGACTGTGCGTATACTGAAATTGTTCACCATTGGGCAAAGCGTGCTGGTAATGCTAGACGCTAGAAAGTTAATTGCACATGTTTATGTGAAAGTCATGATGTGTGTTGACATTATCGGATTATCAGTCAAATGTTATAACAGTAACAGCACTTATGTTGAATTTTAAAGAAATTTGTAGACGGCTTAATTTACATTTTTCAATAAAAATACTTCGGTTTCTGTAAAGACCCCAAACAATGGGTGCAGCCGAATCATGGTCTGCCTCGCAGAAAAATCGGCTCCTTACTTTAAAACTTGGGTTATATAAATAAATAAATAAATAAAACACACTCAAATAAATGAAACCATTGAAATCAAATGATATGACTTACGTATCAAAACTTTTTTCTCAAGGTTCTGTGTGTATCTCCCGCTGCAAGCGTCTTCAAACATTGATGCCATTTCTCCTAGAAAACAAAATATAATTATGGCTAAATCATTTTTTAATGTTTTAAAAATATAACTTGCAATATGTTTTACGTGGAAGCCTTAATGAAATATTATATCGATTCTTTTATAGGCACACTAAAAATGAAATGTAATTTAAACTGCGCTTGCGTCAGTTGTGCCTCGGATGGGATTGATTGCGTCGAGCTCGTTTCACTTACCCGTGTGTACTTCTATGACACTATTTTGCCTCTTTATGAATCTTACGCACTGGTAATTTGAGTGGCTAAAATAAAGACGACAAGTTTAATTATATAAGATTCAATATATGTTTAAAAGATAAATAACCATGTAAAACAATGTTTGCCACAGATGTTATCTTTGGTGTTAAAGTTACACGTACCTCATTCAGTTTTTAAAAATATGTAAAATTCGGAGGAAGAAAAGTAAGAACTTCGAAAAATTGTAAAAGTGCTTACCATCCATGCGACGTATAACTCACAGCTTCAAAAACGTTAGCACTAGAGTTTCCAGTTTGACACCTTAGAGCTTTCATGATCCTGAATGGGTACCCTGGAATTTTTGAATGCCTAATACGTATGCTATATCCATCATCATCTGTTTCGTATTGATAGGCGTAGGCCATGTCTCTCCACGTTGTTTGTGTCACCCAAGACGGGAAGGTGCATCCCGGCATGGGCCAGCGGCCATCTGAAACAGGTAATAGAACAGCTTGATACAGACACTGAAAGTGGCTGCAAAGGACGATTATTTTCAAAACTGATGTTGTCTTAAACAGTGTTGGTGAACATTCAGACCGCGTCTTTTTCTTATCGGATTGAAAATTTAAATCAAGCATAATGCACAGATAAGGATACGTTTTGATAACAGTGCGGTTTCCATTCATTTTGGTCTATTATAAGACCTATCTCCCTTTGGTTTAGATTTAAGAAAAGCAACTCCTCAAATTCCAAATGCTAGGACCTAGAATGTTACCTCAGCTTAATTTTCCTAAGAAAGAGCAGTGAGAACTCTTAAAATAAATATCAAATCTATTATATCTGTCTGATCCATTAGTAGATTTTAGAACTGAAACTTATGTGTCTAGATATTTTGCATTAGCCAAATAGCAATCCGCGTCATTTCTTGAACAATAAATGGCAGTTTCAAATACTGAGACTAAAAGATAGGTTGCTAGGTTTGACTAACTAATGGGCGGGGATGTTGGAATAGTTGAGTGCTGTATGTAAAAGAGAAGCACATAAAACAATAGATTTTTTTAGAACACATATTTACAGTTTGGCTTTCGAGATCTAGATTCGTCCAAGTGCAAAAACTAATAAAGGTAGAGCAAGAGGAAATAAATTTGATTTAGTTGGCGCAAGTTAAGATTTAAGCTGTGTCTTGTGTTTTCCTTCTTCTACTTATAGGAGTCCATTTGGTCTTATTTACGAGGCACAGATGGCCTGTCTGAGAGGCCAGATCTATGGCCTACGGCACGCAGTCCTGATATTTGGCTACTTTGTTCCTGGCCAATTTGCTAAAAAGGCTTAGCTTCCCAAACAGTATAAGAACTTCCTTAAACAAAAAAGTAACCTTCGGAGAGGGATGTCCGTATCAAATAAGCTGTTGTCGTGTCAAAAATCGAAAAAGGCGTAATAAAAGAAAGGACTCCATTATATTCCATTATATTTTTTTTTTTTTTTTTTTTTTTTTTTTTTTGCATTATAAGTCAACCAGAAACCGACAGCAAACTCGCGTAAAATATGATCTTGAATAGTTAAAACGCTAAAGGAAAACCAATGAGAAACAAAATTCGCATTGTTACTAAAAAGTGTAGTGCACGTAATGTTTCTAATCCCGTTTTGCTGTTTCGGATATACATCTTTTAAAATCGGTAAGGAAAGTATGAATGAAAAGTAAAAGCTGAAAAAAAGTTGGCTAGGCTTTAATAACCAAAATATTGCTCACCTTTCGACAAAGTCATAGTTAGCGGAGCGTCTGTTACACTGAAAATTCCTTGGCAAAGAGCATCGGCGGAGCTGGCAAGAGATACGGTTGAGCCTCTGACTTCATATTTCTACAAAGAAAGTAAATATTGAAACCATATTACATCACATTAAAAAATCTATAATAGTCTTTATGGTAAAGCTGTCACAATCTTGATATCTTAAGATACGCTGACTCTCTTACCTGTTCATTTTACAAAGATCGTAAAGATTCTAAAATATCGATTGAAAGTTTATGTTTTCAATGGCACTGGGCTTCTCTTTAAGTTTTATAAACCAGATAAATATAATTTTTCCTGATCATCATATACCGATGTTGTGTTACCCTTATAAAAAGAATGAATCAAATTGTTTTATTTATTTATTTATTTATTTATTTATTTATTTATTTATTTATTTATTTATTTATTTGTACGTTTGAATTTTGCTGACAAAAGGCAATAATAATGGCTGGTTACTTCAATTTGGCAAGGAGTTGAAATATGTTACATATAAGATAACTGAACTTTGTCGAGCATTTCCTTCTCTTCAGAACACAAACATTCTCTACAAGTAAAAAGAATCCCCAGGCGACTTTATCTTACTATCTAATAACAAAAGTTCATTTGCTCAGAAAATAAATCCAATTTAACTTTTCAGCAAAATCTTTGTGTAGCAAATCGACCTATTCGACACGAAAATAGATCTTTTGTGCTGGTATTTACAATCAACATTTGATATTTGCTTCCCATGCCTTTCTGGCAAGGCAATTTTCAAAGTAATCAGAAGAAAAGATTACACGATTGCACGCATGCAATAAGTCTGCCCGTCCTTCATGTACAAAATTATCTTCCTTTACGCAAACACGCGAAAATATCTAAGGCCATAGATAACCGTGGGCAGTAAGATGTAACCATGGGTTGCCTAGCAACGAAACACACCGTCCAAATCAAGCACAGGGAAAGTATTCAGATAATTGGAAAACATAACAAGGTTATGAAACATTTATATTTAACAAAAGAAAAACATTGTTCTCCCCAACGATTAAGTTAAATCCTTACAATCTTGTCAACAATCCTAAACATAGGAAATTGGTATCTGATTATCATTCGTAATCGCTGCTTTGAATATAAGCGAAAAACTAACATTTAGGAGTGAAAATCAAAGCATTTTTAGAGAATTTAACTTACAAAGCACCGGTAGATGAGCCGCTTGGATGTAACAATATTCTTGTTAGTGAACTTCCCATACATGTAGTTATCTCCATCCCTCCACGTGGCAAGGACTTCTAAGTCCAGATCTGTACATGAAACGAGAAATTGAAGTGAATAAGAAGAGCAGCAAAACCTTTGAAAAGTCAAAAGTTACTGCACAAACCTAAATACACGTTCTTATGCAATAAAAACGTTAAAAGTGCTGCCCAAAAACACACATACGTTCACTTAAGTATGTTACAAGTCTGTGGACCTAATTGCAGAATATTACGTAATCTAAAATAGTTTAACTTTTTTTGTAAATAACAGCATAGAAGTGGCATTACATACGTAGCAAGAAACTTGACTCTCTTCCAAATGATCTGATACCATAGTTGCTTCCGCAACTTGGCATGTTTGATTTCTTAATTGAATTTTCCGAATGTATTTATAAACACCCCTACCATTTGATGCAAATAGTTATTCACATGAAAATCTATCCTCGTTGCATGTTATGTGTGAAATTTCGCTCAAGGTTTCCGGACCCACATCTTTACCGTATCAAATTATAGCACGTGGTTTCATACTTGGATTCCTACGGGGATCTTGTAATAAGACCTTGGACTCCCAAAATTTTCTTTCAAGTGGCCAATTGGTAAATATCAGACAATCCGACTTTTCATCCGCACGTTCTTTCTTTTTTAATGACGCCAAGCAGGTGGCGGATATTAAACTCACTGGTTTTATTTTTCATTCGCCAAGAAGGATAACTCGATCTTTGGATTTATTTGAAAGTCATGAGAGCCATGGACCCTTTCAAGCAAAGCAGATTAATTGGTTTCTGCGTGGAATTCATAAGCTTCTTGTTAAATCCATTATTTCCAATTATACATTCAGTGCATCAGTCACAATTCAACTATCATCACAGCTAAGTGGATATGATTTTCGATATTTTCATACTACATATAACAATGTAATAGCAATGCATTATGCACAAAAAATTTTAAAAATGTTCGAACTGACCCTAACTTCACTTGAATTGCGTGAGCTTTGATACTTAGTGCATTGTATTGCATACCCTATATCATGTGCATATTGTAACTGTCTGAAGTTTCAGTACCATTTATCTACTCACGTGGTATTCAATATCTCTGAGAGATAGTACAAATCCTGACCACGACATTACATTATGTGAATTCAATACGCGGTAATGTGCTTTATATACCCAAAATGACTAGTAATTACCCCCAAATGTTCAAATCTTACGTCTACATGAAAGTCTCGTGTACTAATTCTCAGGAGCGATGCCTATTAGATAAATACTCTCAAATTAAGAGATATCGAAATAGCATCACCAGACGTTGAAACGGGTATCCCTCCCGTGTTATTGAATTAGAATGAGTAACGTGTGGATGATAGTAGCTAATGATTGAATTAAAGCTTTGGGAGACACAAGCCATCTAAATTACAACCACTGTGCTGCTGTCATCACTGGGACGGAGAAACAATAATTCGCAGAGTAATTACTTGGTATATTCTGTTCCACTGTTCTTAATGGATGTGTTATGTTAATTACAATAGAGTCAGAAACAATTGTTACTAATACGAGTACCATATCATCAAACAGAGGAAAACGCGTATTTATGTGTTGATTTTGTGATTGTGGAGGGGCAAGGGATGGGGTGAGGTAAAAAGAAATCATAATTTATGTCCACACAAATGCATAATATATAAGACAAGGATTTTACCCGTAGGGAAAAGAGAGCGCGCGGTCCGTGTATGTAAAGAATTAAATATATATGAAGAGACGATGAACATTGAGCTATTGGTTGCACCTCAGTAGAGTGCATCGAGTATTGATCACGGACATCATGCATTATATAGCAAAGCTCATTAAGAAAATCCATGTACACTTGTACCAAGCAGGAGCAAGATCTACAGGCACGAAAACACGGACTTGTCTTATTTACCATTTAGTTACTTTACGTGTCACGACATTTGGAATTACTTTGAAGCAAAAAAAAGGATCTTCTAAATCTTGATTTTTTCCGGGAATTTAGGCAACAAGATATGTAGGCATTCTTTAATATACTGCCGGCAGGTCCTCCATTTATGAGGAACGATGAAAGAATTTGACATTTGTATGGGAATATTCAGTCACTAACACGAATGAGGCTTCAGAAGCCCATTATGAGTTATGACTGCTAGTGAGTGCTACCTACGAAATGAAAATATTGTTAAAATCAATTCCAAGACACAAAGAGGACACAATTTCATTGAAATATCAAACATAAATTGCCGCCGTTTTTCTAATTCATTGAACGGATACATTCTTTTCATCGAGAGAACAACAACAACAAAAATAAGATGAAATTTGTACCACTCACGCTGGAGGTACAATAAATAAAAAGACGACTACAAACTGAAATGCAATTTTTCAACATCGACTAAAATCATATTATGGCGTCTCAGCTGAATAAGCGTCTATGGCGTGTAAAAATCTACAGTCATAACGAAGCAATCAGTCCCCCCTCGTGCTGGGATAACCAAGTTAAAACCCCTCATTTTCTCGATCTTGAACTTTCTAATGTAGTAATTAGATGAAGCATTATGTCTGATATTCTATTTCTAACCTTATGGACAAATAATCAACGCGTTTTCATGGTGCGTTTCTATTGCTGGACCTAGGAACTGGAGGGGGGTTTTTTCTAAGTAAATACAACATGTGGAATAACTATTATATTTAGCGTTGAGTGCCAATTCCCTCATGAGAACCGTAATGAAGAACTGCCCCATATTTCATATATGTGATATGTTGAGTAATATCTGCATTAGCACTATGCTAATGACCCAAGGGAATAATATCAATCGCATCAACTTTTCTTTTTAAGTAGGTCGAGTCAAGAAATGTCATTGACAGAAACGATTTATTGCAGAGGTCGAAATCGCGTAAATTACTAGGGTAACCTCCGAAACAAATAAAGTTATCCGAGCTCTCTAGTTTCCACTGCAACCTTTAGGAGGATTTTCAAATGATGGATATAAATTTGGTTTCAGCTAATACCAAAGGGGAGCTTGCATCGGCATTGCTGTCGTCAACGTATCTTTATTACAGTACCTTAATTGCGAATACATCGGCACAATCTTCACAATTTTTAGTCACGTCGATATATTTTTCTGCATAGTTCACACAGTACTGAAGAATTGCACTCATACTAATAATGTTATTAGATTTTCCAGATTTTCTGTAATCTTTACCCCCGCAAACAAGTACATTTCAACATAAACAACCACAATTATATTAATAACCACTAGCTGCCTTCTTAATAAGCGTTTGGTCCAGATTTTGATATCTCGAAGAGGGGGTTATAAATTGGTAAAGCTCCGATATCCATTCTTTATGCACCTGAGCCAGAAGGGAGCGACGAAGGTTTCTGTCATCAGTGGAGATATTTATCTGTCTGCCCATTTGAGATGCAGTCAGTTGATGGTCAAATTACACGGAAAAGTGGGAGCTTTTTGCCACGAAATGCACAAGCTTTGAGTTTCGGATACACGCAGGTTCATGATCGCACATAATATTAAGACATTTCTTTATCAATTTTCGCTTTCGATTTTAGCTTAATACTTTCATTTGCTATCCCGTTGTCTAACGTATACTATTATCTGTAAAATCAGTAAAATAAGTAATTTGTGAAGTCTCGTTTTTAACACAATGAAACCATTCAGATACGTGTAATATCGACACCAACTTTTCCTTTTATTAAAAACATTCTATCAAAACGATCACTATGTTTAAATCGTACCGATCACAATTCAGAACCATCTCTCACCATTCTGAGTTTTTGCGCGTGATCTCGAATTTCGAAGTTAATTTTTATGCCTGATTCTCCGATACGTTGCACGTTTAATTCATATTTGACCAATTAATCACAAAACTCGCTTTGTATTGATACAGAAAATTGGCGACTCATGTCCGTAAGAACAAGAGTCATTAAGTTTGTAATTATCACTTTTGAAGAATACACAAGTGAGTTTAAGACGCATTCACACAGGTGCTGCATGGGCCACATCCCCGTTAAAAAAATCTATTTGTAGGAAAAACTTAAGTCACAAAACCTCATTACACTTAGTTTGTTTCCCCCTTCCTCGGTTAATAAAGAAATATCGACATCATCCCTCCTTCATTTTACACTGTCACGAAAGCCCCGAAGATGAGCGCGTGGCTTTTGCTTTATCGTGGAGCCTGCCAACCCCAATTTGGCATCCAATGCTTTGTAGACGTCTCTAGGGGGCCCGAACGACTCGGTGATTCCCCTCCGGAAAACAGTAGCTTAAAGTGGCCTAATGGTTTTCATACATACGAAATTGTGGCCCGCAGTTAAAAAGGCAGTTCGTAATTCACGTCGACAGAATGAATGTCAACTTTAAAAGACTCAGTTTCTCTTGTTTGATTAATTGAAAATTTAAAGGTTATTCTTAAGACAAATGCAAAAGGTTTTGCTCTTAATTCTTCTTATTTTCCTCTGTTTACTTCAGGCTAACACTCAATAATAGCTTATTTAACTGCAAGCCGTTTGATTAATACATTCGATCTTTAATGACTTAGCAATCGCTCCCGCTGTTCAGTCCATGACAATCATTAGGAAGTAAAGAAAAATCGTCGCCATTAGTTAGGCATTATCTCATCACCATAAGGGCCTTTGAAACAAAGCAAAGGAAGAAGAAAGCTTAACACTCTAATCATCATTTACTCAATGTCACATTAATCTTCCTAACCTCCAGGTCCCTTATTCTGCGCTGTCAATATCCCTGCTGGAATGACATATGCACAGCGAAGACGTATAATAAATTTCACCCTTTAATAAACCTATTAGTTTTAGTCTTGCTACAGCGTTTCACATTCTCTATGTACTGTTATTATTGTGCGTTAAAGACACCGTCAGGAATGTAAATCTAGAATCTACATGGTATTAGATTAACAGTATCTCTGTGATGTTGCTACCGTGTTTGGTTTTCTTCCTCTTGTATTTGTTTTTATTCTGTTGGCGTAAGCGTACACTTAAGGCCTGCTTCCAGTGGAAGTGGGTCGACCAGACTTGGCGCGCGTACTATCTGAGAACGCCATAATAACGATATCCAAAAGCGATTTCTTACCATAGAAAATCAATCAAACGACCCACGACGTACGTCAATTACAATGTTTGTGACTGTTTTGAATACGTATATATTCTATTACTAAAAAGCATGATTGGGCGGCTTGTTCAGATAGTCAAGCCATCTTTACTTTAAACAGACCCTCAATCGTTCCAGAGTGAACAGGTCTTGAAACATGAAGCAATCGAAACAGGCACATTGGGCACAGTTCTTGGAGATGTACGAATTTTCCAGTGGTTGTGCGCAATTAACTGTAATCTAAGTGTGGTGTTTTAAGAGAATTGATTTCTCAAAACAAGGTTTTAAATTTTTTAGCCAAAATGGTTAAAAAATATCTGCCTGAATGTTGTGATCACTATCACGAAAATCTATTATCAAGCACACGATAGCCTTAGACATTTGACATGTGTAATTGTAAAATCCCGTGCTTCATTTCCAAATAGTGTGCCACTTACCTAAATTACTAGTGTCATAGAAACCCGGACATTCTTTGAATCTGAACTTGAGGTGCGAGTTGCTGGCACAGCCGGCGACCTGGGAGCGCGGCGTGTCACACAGGCCCGTCATGTTGTCATATGTAAAAGTATAAGCACCTTGGAACGGGCTGGGAATAGGAGTAGCAGGCTCTGTAAAAAATAATAATTAATCAAACAAACAAGGTAGCAATGGCGTTCATTATATTCTGAGATAAAAGTACCGACTTGTTAAGTTACACCGACCACTAACCTGCCCCCAGCTTTGAAAGGTACACGATTCTTGCAGTTATGGTATTGCTTTCAAAAATACCACAAACTATTAGAAATTGAAACTTCAAAAAAAATTATATGCAGAGATTATACAGTAACATTACCTTTACCTATTTGTAATATAACGAGAACATTGTTTTATTACCTGGAGTGGAAGGTGAACATGTACTTTTTAATGAGTACTTGTTAAATGATTGATTACGAGCCTTAGATGTAGTGTAAGTTACCATGCACAATATATCATAAATGTCGATGAGAAAAAAATCACTGCGCTTCATCGTAGGCCTACACTTAATGTAATGTACACAAAACAAAACAAAAGACTACATCCTCGTATCAAATATTGTGTTTCATACGTACATTAGGAAAACCATCTATTTACCGAAGACAAAAGTCTGGAAAAGTTAAAGGGAGATTCAGTCATGTGGGAGATGTCAATGTTATCTTTGCTTTTACAGCAAAAAGTCACTTTTAACGCATCGTCTGCCTGAGATTTAAGCTGAAGTCAAGCTGAGACTTGGTGACTCCGGCCCATCTGATAACATCGGATTTGTAGCCGTTTCACAAATGACATCAGTTGAAGAAGAAAGAAAATCGATGGCTTGTTTGACCAGGGATTCTTAGCTTGGACCTTTACCAATAAGTAATTTGGTTTTACATGTAAAACCATCATAGGACTTCATTTAGGGACAGAAAAGAAACAGTTGATAACTAAGGCACGATAACTTATTTAGTTGTACAAGTACATGTGATTGTACATAAACCCTACAAAGACCATACCATTTATAACATCGATTACCATTTAAGGTTTAAATTAACGCTTGAAACGGTTTGCTGGACACCTTAAAACAAATTTAATGAACAAATCATCGTTCATTTTTTATTTGTATTTATTAAGAGTTGCGTATACTAAATGCTGTTTGCGTTACTTTGCAACTAAGGTTACGAGAAAAAGAAAGAACACTGCAATCCTAGAACACCAGGAATAGTACATTTACGTTCCAAGAAAGAAATACTGCAGAAACTAAGAGCCCTTTCCTTCAGCAGTGACATTTATCACTTACGCTGTAATTAAGATTGAACACAGGGTCGATTGCAATTCGCATTACTTAACATCATTTAAACCCGAAGGAAAGAAGTATTCTTTCAGACCGATGTTATATTAAATGGAATGAAGATTAAAGGCGCAATTTTGCATGCTTTTTAAATTATTTTTTTCAGGCATTGCAGGTTCTTAATCACGACTTAAGGGCCAGGGATTCCCAATTAGGAATGTCATTTAAGCAACCTCGCATTGGAAACCGCACCTTCCACACCGACCTCTTCTAAATCAACTTATAACAGAAATCAATGCTTAAAATCGCCTAAAAGTAAAGTCCACCTCACGCGGATTCTCGCATGTTTTCTATTGTTGTATGAAATCACGCCGTGTCAACAGCTTCGGATGATCACGATTTAGACATGCCACCTTTCAAAACAACCGCATTCCCTAAGAAAGAGTGGCGGTTCAGCTTGTTACGTACAAACTTAGCAGACAGTGAGGCCAGATTTCTATTTTAAGAAATGAAAAACTAACCCGACTGTTGAAATAAGTTGCATCAAACACACACAGGGAGTGTCACTTGTTGCATGCAGTTAAATTAGATTTCTGTGCTTACAACTGTAAATGCATGGTCTCTGACTGAACTAAACTTATTCTTCAGACCTAGCTGGTAATGCTGAGAGAAAGGAGAGCTGTTCCAAAGTCAACTCCAAAACGGCAACGATGAACCAATACCAACAGACAGTGCATAATAATGCAGAGTTAAATAAGCATTGCTTGATGTCCTCTAAGTTCAGTTTTCAATCTGACAGACGATCGTTTTATCATTTTTTCAGAACTTGCCCTCAGTGCACTGATGGACGGATATAACCATCAAATTAATAGAATTGAAAACTTAAGTCACCTTTTAAAGGTTTCCTTCAATCTAAATAACTGAATTTGTGACATTTATTGATATCATAAAACTCTTTGCGTTGTTTCTATCTATCTGATGGGAGAACCGCTGTATTTCCCTACGGCCAATTCAAACAAGAATAAAACTTGGTTCAACAACTAGCTGAAATTTAAACACATGCTCATTCATGCTTTCTTATTTTGAAATGTTCTATTAGAAAACCAAAAGTGAATTTTTTAGCACAAAAGTTTAGAACTTTCCGTACAATTTCAGGGCTCAATAAGGGTATGCAAGTTGTCGGCAAATGATGAGTCAAATGGATCAAGAAAGACAAGCTGAATTTTAGAAGAAAGTATTTCATGCAATTTTGATTAATTGAAATTAATTCCGGACGAAAAATCTAAAATAAATGCATAATATTCTTCTACTGGACGCCAGAATTCCCTGAGGAATGGAAATTCTGGTGATAACAGAATTGCAGAAAATCAAGTTGCAGAATAATACTGCAGAACCTCCCCCTGGGAACTATTATATCAAATAAATGAGATATATAAGAACCCGAGGGGTTGGAGATCACAGTAGATAGAGAAGAGATGGGGGGTGAATTACATGCATTTTAAAATGATTATATCGATTAGATATAAAGAACATGCCCTAAGCGAATATGGCTGAGCAGTGATTTGCAGTGATAAATTTCATTGTCTCATTCCCATAAGTTTAGAACTTTGTGTAAACTGACAGGCCAAACAGTGGGGACGATTGGACAAAAAACGGATTTAAGTATAGCATAAACGTCATGCCGAATATACCTGATTATGACATGTTATGTAATGCAACAATTCAATGCGGTGACAGATCAACTTTCGTCCACCTTCAGTTTTAATTCAGTTTTAACAGCAATTCAAGTAAAAGACAGTGTAAACCATATAACTTATGTTCTACTCTTGTCAACTCCTCCCTTATTATAAACGAAATTAAACACAAATAACGTATGTTAGATAATTTTAAATTATCATTAAATGAGTTGCAACATTTATCCTTTTAGGTTTTCTTGCCGCACACTATCTCTAAAAGTTGGTTTCGTTGTGTAATGTGTTCTAATATTGTGGTAGTGTTTGCAACATGTGGGCTGTGATACTGTCGCTTGTTTTTGTATTCGGCTGAATATTTTTAGTTTTAAAATGAGTCATTTTCGTTGGGTGAGGTGTATTTTTGTGTTGTTGATCCCGAAGTGGTATTTGTGATAGTTGTGGCGGACCAAAAGGAAACCATAGTCATTCTAACCGGAGGGCCTCGGCTGAACAAGTGACATATACACCATATTGGATGAAGGAAAAAAGTTGCCAATCTAATCTGCCCACCTCATAGTAAATTTGTGAGAATCCCTACAACGTATCAGCACGCAGAAAAACTTTAAATTTACAAATACAGCAGCGCAATTGCAAAATACATGTAAAAAGATTGTGGAAACAGTACGAGTACCTACCCCTCACTAAGGTAAAAAGCGGAGCGTCCCCTCGGATGACACACGCGGTTTGGATACTGTTGTATGCCTGGTTGCAGTGGACACCTGATTCACAAATAAAGTAGTATTTGGTTATATTTGAACATCATTAAATGTAAACACTAGACAAATAGACAGAGAACTGTATGTTTTTTAGATGGTGATAAGATTTTTGATTGTTGTCGGAAGAATATTTTATTATAACTTTGAGTGCACAACACACCTGATCAAATATATTTGCCTTTTGTTGTCTGCTTTCAATAAATATATTCAACCTCAAATAAATTGCAAATACTAAAAATGTCATATAGTCGCATGTGCAGCCTTAATAATGTGTGGTATAATGCACCATGACAATATATGAGAGAACCTTCCATCCTAGTGACTGCGGCATTTGCAGCATATTGATTTTATGAACTGCGACTGTATACCAGTAAGGGTTGTTTTCTTTTCCAATATCTTTTTATGTTCTCTAGCGTATCCTTGTGTTAACTAAGAATATCCCTTATGAGTTTCCCGGGAAATGTTCATGGGTCCGTTAATTCACGAACAGATATGAAATATTACTCGTACAAAAAGCCTGAACAAAGAAAAAGCTACTTAAAGTACGTTTTGGAAATATTGATGATTCATCCATCCAGGTGTGTTTTCAGGTAATTATCGTTATTACCCTAAACACAGCACAATTATATGTTCGTGCAAACATGGGGTTAATCATAGCTTGTATGGATGCATTTTTGCAAATTGGCGACACGGACATTTCGCATTTGGTATTTGATGTTTCCACATAACCAACACTTCGGAGTAGTTTGGAAATCCCTTCTCTGATACTCTGTAGCAAGCTCCTCTTTTGAACGTTTGACTGACGTTTTGAGATTCTATGACCACTTTTATATTCATCGATAATCCCCCCCCCCCTCTCTCTCTCTCTCTCTCTCTCTCTCTCTCTCTCTCTCTCGCGAAACATTTCATATTTGCCACCGCTAATAGGCCGAAGTGGCTGGAAACAACAAACTAAAAAACGGTGAATGATTAGACATGCATTAACTGCAACTTCATATGACACCTTACCCTCCGTACATTGGAAGCGACATGTTTATTATTGCCAGTAGGCTTATAACCGTGGCTGAAAAAATCATTTGATCCATCCTTCGGTTGTTATACTGAGAGAAAGTTTCAGATATGCAGCTCTATCATTGTGATTCTAGGTTATGGATATCCTCACAGGAACACATCTCTCTCTCTCTCTCTCTCTCTCACACACACACACACACACACACACACACACAGAGAGAGAGAGAGAGAGAGAGAGAGAGAGGGTGTTCACGGATGTTCAACACCTGTTTCATCAATGATGTTAATTGTGTATTTTACATACACCTGTACATGTATATGGATTCTCTTAAAGAGCAATCATATCATACATTATAGGAATACTTACTTTGTTTATACTGCAGCACATTAAAATGCCTCTCCGTTATGACAACGCAGGAGTAACATATTCTCACACTGAAACAAAACAAAAAACAAAAATATTCAAATGCAATGTTTTCAAGAAGTTGGTGAACAATTTCCGTTGCTACAATTGTATTTCACACTGGGTTTCTTTTGCACTTTTCAACCAAAAATTGTTTAACTCATCATTATTTGATGCATTAACCACTTATTGCCATTCTTTATTTCTCTGTTATACAAAAATTCCATTAATTCTTTATTCTAGCAATAACTCATTTTCTAGTGAATAACATTTTTGTTCATCGCACATTTCGATCCATTTTTACCCATAATGCATTAATTTGTTACTTTCCCTTTTTGTTCCTATTAAATTGCATTAGACCCTTTATGTCAATATTCCTTTAGCACATTTAGAAAATAAATATCCTCCCAGTCGATACAGATCATAACTTCGTAGTTCCTCGTTTCACTGCTGAAGCCAACTCGGCTGTAAGTATGACACGACGGATGGCGTTTTTTAACAACTTGCTCACGGCGAATTCGAGTTCAGTTTGACTAAAGGATTTACAATAATTTAATAATGATCCAGAGAGCGCATTTGGGAATAGATATTGTTCTCTTCATAATTTTATTTGCCTGGCTCTGAGGAAACCACTCCAGCGAGAGAAACGCACAAAGGATTCCAATGTTCAGCACTTTCAACTGAATGCAGCGTCGAGCCATAGAAGGCCGACATATGCTTGCCTCCCATGGGCGGATGAGGAAAATAATTAAAATACAAATTAATTAAAAATATAATAAAGAAATTAAAAAATTGAAATTGTCTCATTGTTGGAATTATTTATTTATTTACGTATTTACCAATTATTATTAACCCATTTATGTCATGGCGCTATACTGGGTATAGCTAGAATACGCCAAAACACAACAGCAAAACAAAAGAAGTAGGTGTTTCGAAGATTAAACTATATACCATCATATGTATTATCTAGAAGAAGTGTATAACGTCGTTAGCAGCACAGACTTGATCATCTTACATCACGTAACATATGCCAGGTAAAACGCATGTGAAATAAGGTCGCGCAGATCCTTTGGGAATAATCGAATCTCTAGTCACAAAAGGAAAAAACTGGAACCTATGTTTAAGCCTTTCTGTTTTAATAATGAAAAATGTAGAAAAATCAGCGCAATTATTGCCCACGACCAACAAAATCCAATTTATTGACACGAAAAAGATAGATAATGCATCGCCCCTTTCATCCCTGTGCTTTCACTAAAAGGTTTTAACATACAAAAAGGCGATAGATAATAAACTTCTAAAGCGTGATGGCTTATTTGAAGACACTAACAGCTCATGAAAAGCCGAACCAATTTGCGTGAGCAACTTTCTAAACGGCTCCCCTTTTGTCACCGGGGACAGAGTTTCCCATTTCGAGGCATATTAGAGTAAATTGAAATTGGGTTCCCGAGCGATTTCCGAATTGAACATTTAACAATATATGGAATGAGAAATAGTTTTCACTTCGTGCACAAAAAGTAAAATGCTTTGTTGTGTTTTCTTTTAGGGCAATGGGCTTGGCAAGAAAAGGAATGTAAATGATGCTAAAATAAATTATCTAGTTCATCGTGCATGTATGCATGCATGCGTGTGTGTGTGTGTGTGTGTGTGTGTGTGTGTGTGCGGGCATGCGCGCGTGAGTGCAAGAGAGCTTTGTTTGCAGCTGGCTAGCCACGCTGTTATGTATTCTGCGATCTCATGGACCTGCCATATCGTTTTCACGATAAATATTTAAAAGACTGAGGTTTTACGAAGAAAGATAATATTATGCATAAGCCATATAAACCACAAAGCACCTTAACTGCTATGGTAACCTAACACTATGACAAGAAAGAGGCGGTCTGTTTGCTGAAAAAATCTTAGACAGAGACCTAGCAAAACAGAACGATTTGGTTTCATTTTTAAGAACTTGTTCACGGCTTTTTTTCACTTCAGTTATAACCTAGTAGCAGCTGTGTATCGACCATTTGAAGCACATGTAACCCTAGAAATATTTCACTTCCTTTAGACCAGGTCGCTATCTTTCTTCGAACCATGAAGCAAAGTCACGCAGTGGGCTTCGAGCAACACCTGTCCTTCCTGCCACAAAGGGTAATCTCCATGGTGATGTGCTCTTTTTACATCTGATTTTAAATTTCATTCCTGATAAGGCATGGTTTGTGTTCGTTATCTTCACAATATAAGGGCACTGAAATTTACTTCGACGAAAAAAACTAAGAGAATTCGTATTCGTCCTAATGGGACAAGCACCTTGAAAATGGAACAAATTATGTACGCTGACTTTACCTTAAAAATCTGTAATACAACAGTTAATCCACAAATGTAAACTTGTATTTAAGTCGATTACAAAAGACATCCAAAGGAGCTGCTCCTGATAAAATACGGCAAACTTTTAAGGGGTCTAGGATATTAACGAAAAAGTCCAAAACTAATGCAGCTAATTAAATTTCCTATTAATTAAAGGATATGGTCTAGCAAGCAAAACAATTTTCCAAAGTTTGTAGTCACAGTGTGACACGAGTGACGTAATATCAGCGTTTTGGGGCTAAAATTGTCATTTTTTTAATCAAGATTTTCTCTTAAACAAAAAGCCCTATAAATACGATTGAAATAGCTATCTAAAGGTTAGCACNACTAAAAATCGAGTTCAAGACGTATTTTTAATATCCTTGACCCCTTAAAGATCTCCTAAATTTACAAGTATGCCTGTATGTATGTATGTAAAAAATCTGTCAAGTGAGCAAACACAGAGAAGAAAAACCATTCCAATTGTGTATTTGAAAATAAAACATTTTTATGTGGATTTCTGCTAGCAAAAATTCCACTAAAATGTTCAAAAAAGAAGGGGGGACGTTAAAACATTGATAACATAGGCTTGCAGGCCTGATAAAAATCATCTAATCTTTAAAAGTTTAATGTCTTGTAGCCCGTGCTAGATATTCAGCTCTTTTGTAGGAGTACTGAGTATAAACGGAAAGATTGATTGTTGGAGAAAAGATAGAAAGCGCAAGTGCGTGTGAAGTTGGCATTTATCTAGCAGACGAGACCAGCTATCCTTGATTACGAGAATAAAACACAAATAACATCGCTATGACTGTATTATCAGAGCCTTTTATACCAAGATTGCATTCAGAGTGATACGAAATCGATAAAAGCCAAGCCATTTACAATTTTCATGCCGTGCGGTCAATTTTTCTCCATGATCTCCTTACTGGCAGACGACAGTTTCGGTTCCAGCGATCGGAACTGGGAGACGGGAAAATCAGACTTTGTTCAATTCTGGTCCAAGATTACCTATACGACTTTATCAATCATTCTTTTTTTCAAAAGGAACCTTAAGATTAAAGGCAAATTGTAGGAAATAGCGTTGGTCCATTAATCCTGAGAATCGATCATTTCTTTCAAGGCACACAATAGCGTCGCAATCACAGGCCATGTAAAATGTCCGAATGGCGACGGAATAACCCCAGCGGCACGTTTGACGACAAATGCATCATTTTTGGCTTTTTTTTCCTTTTCATTTCATTCTTGATTGAAATGAATAAGTGACTTATGGCAAAAGGCAATCAAAAACCCTTTTTATTTGTTTCTACAGGTATTGCAAAATTTTACTTTTTTGGCTTTTTACTTGTAGATTTTCATTGATGACAAGATGGTGGTAGTATATACTTTTGTTTTATTTTTAAACACTTGATATAATTTTGTTCTTCATTATTACTGCTCAAATAAGAGAAAGAAAGGGAAAGCTAGCCGCGCACTGGTTCAAGAAGCTTTCTCCTCCACATATAGAAAGAAACCAAAAATATATAAAAGACGGTCATAATTCGCACTTGTCTTCTTATCAATTATAAATATTTGAAATGTTACGAATGAATAAATATTCGGACATGACAACTTCATGATTCAAACTACTTGTAATTTCTTAATTCATAAAAAGTAAGATGCACGTAGGCCCTACTAAAGACAAGATTTGTACATTACCATCCAGTTCTTGTAATCGGTTGCTAAAACGCAGACAAAAACTGCGTCTATTGCTAAAACACTTGAACACAATTTAAAGGTTTTCACTTTGTCTGTTTGAATGAGTCTAATACAAAATTGTAGGAAATCTTCGACCTACAAATTTCAAATATCTAATCCCCGGTAGAGGGCATTTAAAGCGACTTAGTGCTATGAGACTTAAAATTGATTGGGTATAAAAAGGCGATTTTTCAAATACTGGTATTGTAAATGATAAACATACAATGCGGAAGCTGTGATTCAGTATAGTGGTTTCAGCTTGACTACGCAGAACTAATGATCCTGTGGGCCATTGTCTCTCGGAAGTCTCAATGGCGATCAATTTATCAAACCCAGGGACCCTGATTTCTAGATGTTGAAGCTGTCCTTGGTACCGACTTCAGCTAGACACGACAGGAAGCGTATAATATGTAGCGGCGAGTCAGTGTACGATTCTGAAACCCAGGGTGACGTCAGGAATATTGTTCCCTCCGTGGGCGAAAATATTATGTCAGATAAATAGAATGATGAATTACATGCACAACCCGGAGCTATATTTTGGACAGGTGACATCATAGAAAGGTGTTGTGTGTTGCTCATCCCCTACAATTTGGAAAACTACTAACTGCGGTCACATTTCATGGGTGTCTTACCGGTGCACTATTTGCAATTTGTCTTTTTTATAGTTGGTTAGAGCGATAGAAGTTACTTGTTTATTGGTCCACCAAAATACATTTTTTTTAATAATCATGTTCTCTTTGCAGTGATGCCAACCTTCTGAGAGCTGCTGCACGAGTACCGGTAGCTGCTGTTATGCTACATAGCATAAGAAATTTGAATGGCATTATGAAATTGTTTTTCAAAAACTGGATATAAAAATCAAAATGTTTTAAAAAACAAATAACAACAAATTAAAACGAACAAAAAGGGCTTAATCAATAAAATAAACTGGAGAATTAATCAAACTTACTCGTCTTTGCTCTCAAGAAGAAACGTCTTCTCTATATTCTGTATACATCTCCCCTTTGGCAAGAAGGAATCCGAAGAGATCTGTATGTCCCCCAGGTCTCCTTGGAACCATCTCCCTTGCCAAGAACTTGGGAACCGGCATTCTTCGGCTGAAAGAGAGAGAAAATCGATTTAAAACTACGCCTTCTTTGTTCCATGCTGTATCTGAGTTTGCATGCATTCACTGTTGGAAATAAGATGTGACATTAAAAGCCCAAGGTTAAATATTTAGCATAAAAAACGTATTGAAAATACATCGTATTTCATGCATCTAAAGTAATCCATGGTATGTATTATTTAACGGTAGCCTTAGCCATTCATTTTAAAAAATAAAATAAGCAAAAGGAAATACTACAATCAAATGACACACGACACGATATGAAATTCATTCTAACAAAATCATTTTCTGGAATAATTTTGCCAGAAGCAGATTAGTTTACGTAATCAAATAAACACAAATATATATGCAGATAGTTTAATCAACCTAAAGTAGTACTGGGGCGAAACATCGTTAAAGTGCAGTAAACTCAATTAACTGTGCGGCTGAATTACCTGTGACTCACTTATTCAATTAGGTAAGAGTTATTTTCATTGTTAGCTCATTTCTAGTGATAAATATGATATTCGACCCAATTAATGTCCTTAAATTGTGATAGTTTGCTTAATAATCTTACACTTTATTGATATGATGATGAGCTTTATTACTCTGTAAACGCTGAGATGACAATAAAAGTTCTGTGTATGAATGGGAGCCACCCTAGTTGCTATAACTGATAGCTGGAACAAAAGGTAAAAAAAGTCCTTTGAAAACATCGTTCCGGTTATCGATTTTTTTGTTTGAATTTCTCACTTGCCATTTCTTGTTACGACTGAAATGATGCTTAAGGCACAAGGGAAAAATTAAGTCAAATATGAATATATGAATTCATGTTCAGGAACAGGTAGCGTGGGACGAATCTCCATCAAATTGTAAACGTTGCAAATTACCCTTATACGTGCAAACAAATTTATGTCGTAAAAGCAGACGACAATTTATTTTGAACAAATTTTATAACGCAAAGAACCCCGAAGCATCGCCTCCGGCATCGAATCACTATTATTGTCGGTACAAAAGTTTTGACAATAACTACATTTACGAAGGCACCCCTGGCGAAGAAAATCAGCTACTTATTTCTGTAAATTCAGGACCTAGTAAGACCTCTCAAAACGCAAACATCACGTCGTATGAGACACCTGCCAATAAAAAACGCACGGCTGCCGTGAATAAAAGAATAAATATATTTTTGATTAGCCTTCATAATCAATTTATAAGATAATTCGACAAAATGTCATATCAAGTAGAAGACATCCTATTGTGTTTAAATTGAACGTAAATCCTGCAACGTACCAATGTTAATGGTATCAATGAAAAAGAAAAAACCAACCATGTACGCGCCATTTTTGACCTTTTTGTTATTTTCCTAGGTAGGATTAGTGAGACGAAATCATAGACGGGATTTTGCATTATATGTTTAGTTAAACTGATCAATGGTTCTGATTTCCTTTTCAAATTTCAGGCTAAATGTTATATAATAAACTTATCTTAATAGCATCAGGAATGTAAGTCTTTATAAGAACTGACAACTGAGACTTATTTTGTGAAACGGAACGAATCTTTGTTTTCTACCCATTCGTGAGTGCTTCACTAACCTCTCAAGAAAACAGACACATGTAAATTAGAACGACTGGATGGAGTAATAATAACTGAAGACATCGATTGATAAAGTAATAATAACTGAAGACATTGATTTCTAATGGAAGCCAATTTCCCTGATTCACAACGAACACTGCACGAACTTCATATGCTGGACAATTAAATACAGTAACCTTACACTTGCGCTTAATTCTGAGAATTTTCGATTATGTAATTTTGGCCATTTTCCTTCTCATTTCAACTACAAAGCTGTCATCAAATCCATTTTGTTCTGTAAAGAACCATCTAACCGAGAAACCTTACCTATGTCCGTAATTCTGCACCGGGTTACTCAGCAATGTTATTTAAGAAAATAAATCTAGACAGTTATTGGATTTTAATATTGTCAACTCTGCGAGAAAGCGAAATAATCATCTAATACAATATGGCCATGATGACAACCATCACTGACTTTATTACAAACATTCTTTATCTATTAAAAAAAAATCCTTGGAAAACCATTTTACTAAAAAGAAAGCAGTATAACTTCGTCAGTCAGGGCAATCCCTTTTGTCATGAGAATTTTCATAACTGAAAAATTCACGCAGTGGTAGTATTGTTCATACGACCAAACACGCTTTCGAGAGTTCAATTTCCTAATCCATTTGATGTATAATTTAAAAATGAACTTTAGAAATATACCATCTCTCAATGTACCCATTCATTATTAAAATGGCCATCTTCTCCTTCTAAAAGCTCGTTTTCCTAACTGTTTCATTTTTAATGTACAACCACTTATTAATCCAACAAACCATATTCCCATCAAGTTCATGAGGAACCAAGGGTGCATTAATTATTCGATAATCAGCACAGGGTCGAGTCAAAGAAACACTGGTACGTGCATCAATAGGCCACCGATGCCCGCCGTGTGATGATACCAGACATTAACAACATATCTTTGGGCAATCCACGAATAGATTATTAAAGAACAGTGATAGACACGTGGCCTTTCTGGATTAAGTGGTCATTCGCGCCAAGGACAATGATGACCATTGATTGTCACATAATGCACTACACATAGACTGTGGGTAAATCTTAACTCGGAAGTTGAAGATCAATATATGCTCAAAGAGAGAAGGAACGACAATATTTTACCGAGAACGCCTATACCGATTCATTTTGCAACCTTGTAACATATTTGATATTTGTTTTATTTTAAGAAATGGGCTGTGAGGTGTAAATCTTGACTTTTTCGTGACGCATACACACGCTAACTCAAAAAAATTAAAAGAGAGAGAGAGAGAGTGAGAGAGAGAGAAAGAAGAAAGGAAAAAAGAAAATTCGTTAACTGCCCTTTTTTATCATGGTTACAAAATTTTCCTTTTTGTTCCAATAAACAGCTTCCGGTAACTAGTCTGTTGTCTCTAAATGCACATAAAGTGTTTATGGAAAGGTTGAGTAAATTTCACTTGACTATAACATCACGTCAAGCTAAGTAACCGGCATGCCACCGAAGAAAACAATTTACTGCCAAGGTATAATAAATTGCTTTATTTGTCTGCCCAACGGGTATTTTAGCCGCTTAAGAAAGCACTTTTCTTGGCGTTTCTTTGGCAGAAGCCAAAAACATAGGGTTATTAATTTGATTTAGTTGGGTCGCAAAGCCAGTTGTGATAATTGATTTTCGGTATCAATCATGCCTCCCAAGTGCTCTAGTCAGCCTGTGGTATGGATCACAGAAATTCCATTTAGGGATTTTTCCAAATGTAAAAAGGGAGAGGGACTGGGCCGATACGACACGCTTGTAAGCACTAGGTTAGTGTATGGGGTGTTTATGGACGATGTTATACTTTTCATGCTATCAGCTAATACTTTATTATGGCCTTAAAGGAAAAGATGAAACGTGAAGAAACAAAAGATTTGTATTTACGAGAAAACAGTCCGCATGCATGGGTCATACATCTCCGTAAAAAATACATTCTCAAGCAATTGATAAGCAGACAGTGTGTATGAAAAGAACATTTACTTTGTTTACGGAATAAAAAGTAATTATACCTCAATGCATCGCGTTTCCTTAGAAAATCGACATCTCCCAGAAACGATGACAGATTATCATTTTGTGAAATATTACAAGATTGTGTGTGTGCTCAGACAGTCACGCGATGCCATAAAACACAATGACAGATAATGTAATCGAAAAAAAAGCAAATATTTCAAGCGTGTCTCAGCGCATTTTATACTAAGAGTTATATACACAATCAGTGGCGGTAAGATAATGACAGTGGGGAGTGGAGAAGCCGGTCGGTCACTTTGATCCTTGTGTGGTCCAGTTTTTATGTCAACCTGTTTGACAGCGGCGCTCGGGTGACCACAACGGTGTGTTCAGTCACTCAAAGTGATACAATGTCCCCTCGTCCAAAATACTCCGAATACGATCAACGTGAAAGTTAAATTTGGGGTCTGGGAAATCAGCCACCACCACAGAACTATTAACCATAAAATGTAGGCCTAATAGACCAGCATGGGGGCACAGGAGTAAAGTTTTGAACGATCAAACGTACTGTTAATAACAATACGCAGCAATTTGATAAGGTACTAGCATTATCCAATCCATCACTGTCGTGTTAAACTTGAGACATTAAGAGCCATCAGACAGGATCAAAACTACATTAAATTGTCATTGTTATACTACCTGAATAATCTACTGTCAATTAGACTGATTCCGCGCACCTGTGGCACTGCGCCTTTATAATATGCGTAAATGTAAGCACAAGTGAAAGAAGAACATCATCATTATATAGGGTAACTGCACGTAGGTTCACATCAACCCTGTCCACGCAGTGTCAACCTTACAGCGTTCAGCCATATTGAAAACATGGCGCCATTTTACTACAGCTGAACCTTCAGCAATAGAGCGATACATGAAAAGCTGTGTGAGATAAATCCATACTTTCAGAGTACATTGGGATTATTTTGTATCCCCATAAGGCAAGAGATTTATTAAAGAATAGTAAGCGTTAATAACACGGAACCAATGACCTTGTAAGAATAGTTTTGATTCACTTTGTTTCAGATAACGTATAAGGCACATAGGAGAAATCAATTTGCAGCAGATCACGTCCTACACGTGCACTTGTACATCTACTATTGCTTGAAGCTTCTCCTGATTTAATGCCCCTCATTTCATGTAACTAATACTTGAAATCAATTCAAAGGAATCACTTTTGAGTAACAATCTGATTTCTGCCTGTGGTGGGCCTGTTGGCTGTTCGGTACAAAAACGAACATCATATCAACAAGCAAATGTCCAAGATATGTATATAAGCCAGACAGTTAGAATAAAGGCAGAAACCTGAATACATCATCTATCATTCCTTCACTGATGGAGATTTAATTGAATAAGCAACAGATTATTTTACTGCAAGATTACCAAGTGAA